TATAAACATCCGCTGATGTGCGAGACTAAAAAGGCTGGACAGCAAAAAAGCACAAAACAAGTGGTTGGAAACCTCCAACAATGAGACAATGTCTCAAATTCAGTAACGTTCTATCGCCCTCTTCCGCTAAGGGAGACCAAAATCCAGAGAACAGGACCTCTAGGTAGTCTCTTGGAGTGTATTTCAGTGAACCCCTTCGCAAAGGAGTCGATATCTGTAAACTTCCTTCAAGTAACTCTCCGAGTGTGATTAAAGCTTTCCGGTCCATGTACTCGTCCTGATCAGATAGGTGTAAACTGCGTAAATGGAGCCAACCATGTATTCAAAGGGTTGAGGGACTGAAGCAATAAGTGTTGGTTGAAGAGAACTGCACTTTTCCTTCGGAAAAGTAAACGCTTCCTCCAGGTAGTAACAATACACATAATACAACTCACCAGGATGTGGGCGACGGAATGGACCGTCGGGAGTGTGAACGACCCCGAACAGTACGAAGACAAGTATCATGGCTGTTAGACCTCTGAAGAATGTATGAACATAGGGGGCAAAATAGGGCATCCCTACCGTTTCAAATTGTACTCGGAGCTGAATGTGGTATTCTCAAAAACTGCGACATACAAGAGCACCGATGCAAATCCCAACAAACAAAGGCCAGTGTGTGCGTTCCTATAAGACAAGTAGGCTATGAAAAAACAGAATATCTCATTACCAAAAGAAAGACATGGTCCCATCGTCGAAAAAATCCTTGGCACGATTTTTTTCCTCCTCCCAGTCATGTGCCGTTCGTCTTTGATCGCGCTTCCCATTACGAATGAGTGGAGATGTGCTATACTCCATAGATTTGACAGTATTGTTCATCGCATTTGAAATGGATGAAAAACGAGCTGATCGGAATTAGAACATAAAAAATCAGGTAGATGTACGGTAGCTGAAACAAAGGAGACGATTCCGTAAATAACAGTTTACATTGAAGAACATAAGGGTGGATAGGTTTGGTTGGTTGAAACTCTCCCCCGCTATGTTGGTCACTGTTGCTGTGAAAGGAAGAAGACCTTCGCTGTGGAGTTGTTTATTAGCAAACACGAACTTAACAGTGACTAATGGACAGGGGAGCAAAACCCTCATATGCATCTTGTTTATAAAAACTGAATATCCATCTTCTTCTCGAACGCGTCTTCCTGAACTTTCCTGGATATATTTGTTGACTATTACTCAAATGTAAACAAATGCTACAAAGCAATCCCACAAGTTTCGGAAAAAACCTAACTTTTCAATAGACGCAGGACAGATTTACTCGCATGCCTTATCAGTAGTATCCACCGTGACAACTGTAAACGAAGTCACATTAGCTAAGTCAGTCAACTGCAGACCAGTTGCTACGAGTTGATTGGTGGTGAACGTCCTGACCTACTAAAGCTATCACCTTGTGGTGGTGGTCGGCCCACAATGCCGCGATGACCTTCCGCGTTACACTGGCTGGAACATGGTTCAATCATACCAGGCAAACTAGCCAGGCAGCACTCCGATGGAGAATAACGAGCAAGAAGTCCTATTACGAGGCGGTCTGCGGTTAAAGTCGTACTGTTCTTTGACATAAAGTGGTGAAAGCAAAATGGTGCTTTCTTCAGGAGGTTCGTAAAAAGTTGGTCTTGAAAACTACACACTACGATCACCTAACAATTGACCATGACAATGTCAGCCGCGTGCTGCGCATGGAGAAAGATCGACCATCAACTGTTGTTCTCTGTGCATCCAGAATGGCGCGGACCGGAATATGTACAACGTATAGCTTGGTAGAACGGTGTAAAAATAGTGAAATATTCGTTCAGCTGTAGCACCCTTTCGGTGCCTAGCTGCCATGCCACCCAAAGGAAGCATGAGGACTGGGATAATGCCCAAGTCTAGACAGGTGCTATCGAGGTGCAGAGGTCGGGTTCGAACCACGGACCTCGTGGCCAGTAAACTCGCGCACTAACTACTGACCCATCTCGTCCAGAAGGCTGTAAGAGTGTCAGGACGCGCCCATACAGAAGAAAAAGCACATGTGCAGAGAGTGACGTATCCCCAAGGTCACGTCCGGAAAGTAGGTGAGTTGAAGGTTCTCACCAAACACGGCTTAGCAACATACGACCAGCGTAGTGGCCCTGAGACTGTTCACGACCGGAACACCTGGCTGTACAGAACGAACAAGTGATCGACCGTATTTGGCCAATTAGTCATCCTATAAATTTACACAAACGCTCTGTATGTTTTGTCTTGACAATACAGCCGTTTCCCCAGTTCTGTCTTTTCCCTATCGCGTAGTCTGGCAGGCTCAGGGCAGGCGTAACCAATAGATGGCCACCCACGATACAGCAAAGAGATTATAAACTTGGGTGTAGGACGCGGTCCCCGTGATCCCTCCTGCTCTTGGCTAGAGACACCGCGAGGAAGGGCGGATGACCGATGTCAGTGGCTTTGGTGTTGTATGTTTCTTTCTAGATTGCTTGGAGGTGTAAGTAACTCAGAGTGCTTGCGGCAGGACGGCACCAGGTGTTAGATATGTGCGGCTAATTCCTCCAGCTCTAAGAGACAGTTAATCAGCCAAATACGGACTGCTCTAGCGCTGGAGTATCCCCACAAGTTCCTTTGAGGGAAACTGAGCGTCCAGGATCGTTTATCGTCGCAAAAAAAATATGCATGGTCTCCGTTTTGAAATCACCATATGCGAGTGGTTAGAGCGCGAATTTAATGACCGGAAGGTCCGTGGTTCGAACCCGAGCTCTGCATCTCAACTTCGCCTGTCTAGGCTTGGGCAGCCTGGCAGTATCGCAGTTCTCGCGTTTCCTTCGGGTGACATGGCAGCTAGGCACTAAAACGGTGTTACGGCTGAACGATTATCCTGTTTCTTATTATCTACTAGCATGTATTCTGTGGTGTACGGGTAGAGCAGCTTTTAATGCGTTCGTCATTAGTCGTATGCAGGAGAAGTGTTCTTGGTCAGAGAATTGATTAGACTGTCAAATTGTATCAAAACTCGTGGTGTTTTTGTCACCTCATAGAAGTGTATGTTACGCTCAGTTCGACATTTAAGTCCTTTTGCCAGCTGAACAATTTAAAGGTATCCCAGCTTACTGCGAATCAAAAGCGGTCCGCTGGCATGTAAACCGCATGTGACTGAATGGGATAAATCTATCGCATAAATCCGTAGGCGTCGAAGAGAACACATCGCATTCGGTTCGATCAGAGCTGTTCAGTTGAGCCCAACTCAACACTGATGCTTCGACCATCAGATTGTCGATGTATGTTCCCCAAATATTTCGCAAGGGCCTATTCAGATCAGGTAGAGCTACATCACACCATGTTCTCCGTCCGTATTATCCTCTATATCTCCAGGTAGCAGAGTTAGCACCAGATACAGTGCATTGATGGTCCTCTATGAAAGGTTCTTGGGTTCAAGACAGCTCAGTGGTTAGGACGCTAGCTCACGGGCCGGGGGGTCCGTGATTCGAATCCAATCTCAGCATCTCGACTGCTCCTGTCTGGGTTTGGGAACCTGGCAGTATCCGAGCCCTCGTGCCTCCTTCCGTTGGCATGGCAAGTAGGCACCTAAAGGGTTCTACAGCTGAACGATTATCTTCGATCTCTTCATCTTGAGGATGCTGAATGACGTTGCAACCTAGTATGGTATCTAGAAAGTTAGTCAAACGGGTCATCGGATGACAATGATTTTAGTGAGGACCAGTCGACAAAGGAGGCATTCAGGTAAGCAAGTACAAGGTAGTCGTTTTTCTTGCTATATCTTCTCGGCTGGTCTGAGACTGAGCTATGGAAAAACTTCCAGGGTTCAAGAATATTTAATGAATTTTAGTCTGCCGATCCTACCAGTCATCATGATCATTATTGACAGCAAGTCGTCTGCGTTAGCAGCATCCTTTCTTCCTAGGCCGCAGAACTGAGAAAACGGTGGCCCACCGCTGTGCCTCCCACCTCCTTACCACAGAAAAATTTACGGTGTCACCTCCCGTGATTGTCTGAGCACTTTTAATTCCTCCACGATGGTCTTCAGCTTCCTACTGTGATCTAGACTGAGATCCTCTAGTACGCGATAGGACTGTCGACAGATGCGAGATGCTCTGGACAAAACAGGCTAACGTCCCTTTGAGGATCACAGTACAGCACTGAGCGGCCTCGGTTGCTTCAAAGCCATACTTACTTTAATGCCTTCCTCTTGGTTGAAAAAGGTGGATATATCCTCGGAAAAGTTTGGTAACAATCGGTGGTAATATTGCTGGGCAACGTTTCGCTTTCAACACAGAAGCTTCGTTAAGTCAAGTGACTAGGTTGCGAGGTAGGTCATGGTTGTAGGTCAAGGTTGCGAGGTGGATATATAGTTCAGGATAAGATGAAAAGTTTGCAATCGGTGGTAATATTGCTGGGCAACGTTTCGCTTTCAACACAGAAGCTTCGTTAAGTCAAGTGACTAGGTTGCGAGGTAGGTCATGGTTGTAGGTCAAGGTTGCGAGGTGGATATATAGTTCAGGATAAGATCCGCAGCAAGAAGAACCCCATCATTCATGTCATTAATAGCTGACTCTATAAAGATCACTACACGCTGATCACTCGGGATAATAATGATAATCGTTCAGCTAGAACCCCCTCGGTGCCTAACTGCCACGCCATCATAAAGAGGCATGAGGACTGGATACTGCAAAGTTACCCAAGCCCAGACAGGGAAAGTCGAAACGCAGGGGTCGGGTTCGAACCACGGGCCTTTCAACCAGTAAATTCGCGCTAACCAATGAGCCATCTCGCCCCCTCGGGCAAGACACCTGTAGATCTCCCTTCTGTTCTTTTACTTCAGCTTGAGATGGTGCACGCCTTCTGCCCATGTCAGCTTCAGCTGTAGCATCCTTTCGGTGCCTAACTAGCATGCCACCCGAAGGAGGCATGGGTGCAGTGATACTGCCAGGTTGCTTAAGCCCAGACATCATCATCATCATCAATGACAGCAACACCAGTGTTGGCACTGATGCTTCACTGCCCAGACAGGGGAATTCTAGAGGCAGAGGTCGGGCTCGTAAGGATATCGTTATTTTTTGTTTGACACAGCACTTTCTTATGTAACACTCGCATGGAATCACAGACACCCTGTGGATCCTACATCAGCCATCTCTTGAATACGTTAACCCTTGTAGAGCGTCTCCAACTAACTGATACGAAGATGGTCGTCAGCTTCAGATCCGCTGATTAAAAAACACAAATTTGATTTGGTATAATACGCTGCTTTTTTGGTTTTGTCTTGGTTTTTCTTTGATCTTGAAATCAGTTTCCGTGCAATGGTATTCGGTTTGTGGGCTACGAGGATTCCGTTCTGAGTTAATAATCCGCCAGATTTCAGATACGTTCCTGATATAAGGTGTAATCATCATCTGGTCGCTTGTTCCTGCTGCTGTCGTTAAGACCCTCTTGATGAATTCCATCATAACCCATTGTGCTGGAATTACCTGAACGGATGCTTTCCTTGCTTCTTTAGTAGTGCTGAATTGTCTCCGCCCGCTTGAGTAGGGACTGAACGTAGCCCTTCTTGTGGTTTATTGGATGGTCACTGTCTAAATTTTCTATCTGGGTGTCTGTGTAGATTACACAGATTTTCAGAGTCCCATCCTTTTTTCGTTAACGCCTACGAATGATAATAGACTGTTCCTCCTCAGTTCGATTGTGAACATGGTATCCTTAAACGTTGTGTTGGGTGGTGCACGCGCATTCTGTTCTGAATCTCATTTCATTATGACAAGACTGTCGTCTACGTAGCGGATCGACGATTGAGGATTAACAGTACCGCGCGCTCTGATCTTTGCATTACCGCCTCAGCGATAAATATTGATATTGGAGATCCCATTGGAGTCTTTTTCAGCTGTTGGCATATTTGTCCATATAAGCCAAAGTATGCATCTATGTTCAGTAGCTTGGATAGTTCCTGTCGTGTTAGGATCATTCCGAAGCAGCTCTCTTATTGATTCTCTGGTGGGGTTTTGCTTGATTCAAATGAACGGTGACGTGACATCAGATGAAAGCATGCTTTGATGTATATTGCCGTTTCGTAGTTTGCGTAGAACACCTGACTACCGACTCATTGCTACCCTACACTACGCTCCCTAACAATGCACCTCGGTGGGTGATGAAACGTTAGCAATCAAATCAATCAGCTGTTTCAAAAATCCGACGGCCACCTACGCTACATCAGATACCAACATCCTTCCCAATAGAAGACATTCCCGTGTATCTATTGATGGCGAAACTGACGCAAAAGCCTCGGAGTTTGGATTCAATCTCTTTCCACAATAAGTGCGGGTGGTACTTTCTGGGGGGAAAACTTCTGAGATGCCTTGACAACTCGTTTCCCCCAACCTCTTGTGTTCCTCAACGTGCTCTAAAAAATGATCCATCGGTGGTGATCTTTATAGAGACGGGTCCACGTTCCAGTGTTTCTTTGCACTTTCAAAATGCGAAGTATCAATTTAAGATTGCTTACCCGTCGTCCTTAATTCTTTGTCCGAAGACACAATGGTCACGGGAACCGAGCACGCCGCCGACTGGACGCGTGCACGGTGAGCCGGCCACGGACCATGCTGTCAGACCGTGACGGTTCAGAGCATGGGCCAATCAGGATCGAGGCATTAAGCTCAGAATTTCTGACCCAAATACGAAGATACGGCCTAACCTTGTTAAAGTTTTGTGATCACTGCAATGCATAAAAATGTCCGTCTCAAGTCATGCACTTTTTGGTATAACCTTCAAAGTTCGTCGTCTCGCCGACACGAGTTGCCATTGCATCAAGCGTTCCTATCAGACAGGTCATTCCGAGTGAGAATAGGCTCAACATATTCCTCTCCAGCGCCGGTCTCCATTGGAGTTCCTCAAGGCTCCGTCTTGGGACCACTCCTGTTTCTGATCTACGTCAACGACCTCCCAGACGTTCTTGAGAGTCCATGTTCACTTTTTGCGGACGACTTGAAATCCTGGAGTTCCAATGCCAGCGCCATCCAAATGGATGTAGAGCTGCCAAGCAGTGGTCGTTGGACTTGGCACCTTCCTCTGAATGATGAAAAGTGCGTCCATGTGTCGTTTGGAGGGGATTCAGCGAATGCCTTTGTTATGCATGGTGAAAAGGGACCAGAAAACATCATGAGGATAGATGCCAAAAAAGATTTAGGCATCTGGGTCTCCTCAAACTTGTCCTTCGCACTACACCATGAGAAATCGGCCCAAAAGGCATTCGCCGTTTTACGGATGATCCAACGTACCTTCTCCCGCATTACTCGCATGGACTTCCAAATACTCTATGGGGCCTACGTCAGACCGCTCCTGGAGTACGCCAACCAAGTTGTCTACTCAGGACGTACGAAAGACGTTACCCTCATTGAGCGTGTCCAGCGGGCCGCCACGAGAATGGTTGCCGGCCTCAAGTCCGTGGACTACGAAACGCGTCTCGCGACGCTTGATCTCTTTCCCCTGGAGTACCGTCGCCTCCGAGGGGACCTAATTCTTACCTACGCCCTGTTTGAACAAAGCTTGGCAAACAGGTTTTTTACCGTTGACCCAGCAAACACCCGGCGGGGACATAGTAAGAAAATCTTCAAGCTCAGGGCACACACATCCGTTAGACAAAACTTTTTTTCATTTCGGGTAGTAGCTGCGTGGAATGACCTTCCTCCGACGGTTGTACACGCTCCTTCTCGAACCCAATTTAAAGCACTATTAGACATTTATTTATGCGAATCCTCGCGCTGGCGAGCATACTGCCCCGCGCTGAGAACATAAAGAGCAGTGCTACACCCTTTTTTCACTTGTGCCTTTCAGGTGAACGACAGCCACTGACCGACAAGAACAAAACGGACCCGGGAAACTTGGGCAAAAGCCTCGATTCTGTGTATCAATCCGTGAATCCGTGAAAAAAGAGAGACTTCAGGGTCACATCACTTTCGGAAGCTTACCTGGGCTTGTGCTTTGTTACACCTTCGTTCTTCTCGCTTATCGTCTCAACCGACAGGGTTCTTGAGGGTGATGACCCGACGTGAATGTCGGGGATTCGTCAACATCTTTCATCTGCCGTGCTTGTGTGCCTTGAAGCGGTTACCTCTCGTGAATAGTGGTTTGGCATCGGTAGTTCAATGAGCGGTTGGGTGCTTGTGTCACGGGTGAGGACGAGACAGAATCTCAATAGATTCTATCTGACTTGGTGGTGGCTCTGGGAAAATAAGCAACGAGTAAAAAATCGGTCCCTTTTTTGTCCTTCCAACACATCCTTTGAATAGGTGGCTTCTGTGTGGAAATATTCGATTTGGTTTATATCGCCCTCGGTGCAGAAATAAATCACTGTGCCGATATTCCAAGCCTGGTCGTACAAGAGTGACACTAAGCCTTCTAAATGTTGGTGGTGCTAGGTGACGGAAAGATCATTCACGGATTCACGGATTGATACACAGAATCGAGGCTTTTGCCCAAGTTTCCCGGGTCCGTTTTGTTCTTGTCGGTCAGTGGCTGTCGTTCACCTGAAAGACACAAGTGAAAAAAGGGTGTAGCACTGCTCTTTATGTTCTCAGCGCGGGGCAGTACGCTCGCCAGCGCGAGGATTCGCATAAATAAATGTCTAATAGTGCTTTAAATTGGGTTCGAGAAGGAGCGTGTACAACCGTCGGAGGAAGGTCATTCCACGCAGCTACTACCCGAAATGGAAAAAAAGTTTTGTCTAATGAATGTGTATGCCCTGAGCTTGAAAATTTTCTCACTATGTCCCCACCGGGTGTTTGCTGGGTCAACGGTAAAAAACCTGTTTGCCAAGCTTTGTTCAAACAGGGCGTAAGTAAGAATTAGGTCCCCTCGGAGGCGACGGTACTCC